TCTAATGATATTATAATACCTTACCTCCGTTTATATGGTTATAAATTAAAACACTAGTTTATAATCGTTCAATGTTTAGTGTTATCGTTTATAGTATTACAGTTTACATGTTATAGAGTACAGTTTATCCCCGACATACTTCGGGATTAGTGACTGGTACGTTGATGAACGATTAACTACGGGGACCTTTCCACCTCAAGGAACACGTGTTAATCGCGTAGACAGCCAAGATGCTGCCGGTTATGGGCACACTTGTGTGACGGTGATCCTCCACCTGAAATTAGCTTAACATGTTTTTGCTAGGAACATTATAAAATAAAGAACGGACAAACATTTGTAAAAAAAAACGTTTTTATTAATCTGCAATCACTTTTACGTCAAAACTCGAAGGGAATATTTATTATGTCCTATGTTCACACATTTCCAGTACAATGCAAACCATTTCCGTTCTAGGAATACCAAAGCGTTAAAGTATCATTCCCCATGATTTCCTTATTAGTTCATCACGTTTGTTCACTGTGCGTATATGTTGAAGTCAAGGCCATATATCCAACGAACGCGTCATCAATGTACATCCTGAAATCAGCTATCTAAAATCGATTAATACCAATCAAAAAAAGCCATACACTTGACAAAAAATCTTTAAAATGTTGAGTAAAGATGTACCTACAGACGCATTCCAACTTTAGCTCAACAGGAACATATAACGACTACAATTGAACCCTCTCACAACCAGTGCTCATCACACCACTTCGGCAAGTAATCCGATAACATTACAAACCACCACCGGGCACGTCATTAAACTCTCACAAACTGTAAAACTAAAATGGCTAAAATTACACACAAAAGTACTCGATACGGCTTAAAAGGTATAACCACGTAACATAATATTTTTTTTCAGTCACCCCGAGCTCTCTGGTTGACTCTCGAGCCACTCCATTACATCCAGCCATCTCTCGGGATCCAACTGCATGGGATCGAAGGTGGAAACTTCTTCAGGACTCATTGCAGCACCTTGAATTTCAGCTTTTGATTTCAGTTTCCTATCATTGTGGACCTTCTGATGCCTGTTCATGGTTGATGACCGTACAAATGCCTTCCCACACACAGGGCACAGGAATGGCTTCTCGCCCGTGTGTGTTCTCTGATGACTCTGAAGATTTGATGAGTTTGCAAATTTCTTCCCACACACAGGGCACAGGAATGGCTTCTGGCCCGTGTGTGTTCTCTGATGACTCTGAAGATGTGATGAGTTTGCAAATTTCTTCCCACACTAAGGGCACAGGAATGGCTTTTCGCCCGTGTGTGTTCTTTGATGAATATGAAGATGTGATGACTGAGCAAATGTCTTCCCACACACAGAGCACAGGAACGGCTTCTCGCCAGTGTGTGTCCTTTTGTGTATTTTAAGACGTGATGGCCGTGAAAATGCCTTCCTACACACAGAGCAATTAAATGACTCCTTGCGCCCGTGTGCATGAGGCTGTGGAGAGCGTATCTTGTCCATGTGAGTGTAGTAACAGTAGTGGTGTTATCGAGTCAAAAGTACGCTATCGGCCGCAACGATGTTTAGCGTTGAGTTTTGGATTTTGTTAACTACTAAAACAAGAACGACACTCGTGTTTAACCGATGAACATCAAAATCACGTCAATTTGACGACGAACAGGTTTAAGAGTTCATCCGCGAAAATAGACAATTACTTGGAGATTCACGATATATATCGGTGTCTGAAACCCGTCTGAAGATGTCGCCACGAACTCTCCCGACGCAAAGTCGCCTAACTGTCGACACAGCAATTGTGCTCGCCAGGCTGCGTTGTCTCGCGGTTGAAAGGCGATCAGCAGAGCGACGAGTCGAGCGTCCAACCTCATCAGGTTCTCTCTCGAAATGGCATTGAGCTCTGCTTCTGAGCCGCCTTATAACTCCCCCCCTAGGATCCAATCTTTTGTGTTTCAGGATATTTGCATTCGATTGTTAATTTTGAAGGTACAATCCGCATGTCTATTAACATACCGAAAGGGTAATGTGCCCATTGTGATTCATGCATGAATATGTAAGTGCATCTCAGTGTGTAATTGTGCGCTTATTTTGAATAAATGGGATTAGCGCTGGAAAAACACGTTCCCCATGCCCTCCATTGTCCTCGATTTAAAGTGAATGCAGCCCTGTGGCGTTGCCAAAAATCGCCGAGCTTCGGGAGTGAGCACGTACAGACGCGTAGTTACCACACTTGCAACACAATCACTCTAACATCAGTAACCAAAATCCGATCTGGTACATGGTCTCCGCTTGGTCTGGTTTGTATCCGTCATCACCCCGGAGACCAACAGCGAGGCATGGTTTGGCCAGCCACCACCTCGTTTGCTGCAGCGACTTTAATTGCTGCTCTCAAACAACACTATCACCAATAGTGGTTTATGGGCTAGGCTGTTAAGCGGACAATCAGTCTTTTTGGGCAAGGCGTATGGGAAAATACACACCTCTGTTATCCCATAAACACAATAAACAGCATCGGTAAGGCTGCCTTGATGGGGAGATGTAGTTTGGGTAAGGTGCTGTCACTGGAGTTCGGCGATGTGACTGGGGTATCACGCGGATTCCGAAAAACAGCTTAGACGAAACGACCCACTGCGCTCCATCTCCCCACATGGACAACGACATTTTAAAAAAATTGAAAACATATTTTAAAATACCTATTTGAAATAATGTGGTGTATATATGTTACCATGTGTGGTTGTTATGATTTTTGTATGTGTATATATATACTGTATATAGCATTTCGATTGTAACGATTCATAAGCTCATTATATTATAATGGGTTTGTGCGTGTATTTATATATAAATATGCCGTCTTTTGCTATTCGATGACATTGAGATGAGACCTTCATCTTGCAGTGTAATACGACCGTGTTGTAAATTTTATCATTTTTATCCGATCCTTGCACGGAGACTATATATACATATGAGCAGAGTGTGAGTCTAATACGACCACACTGTGATTCTAATGCTTCTAATGAGATTATAATACCTTACCTCCGTTTATATGGTTCTAAATTTAAACACTAGTTCATAGTCTTCTTGGTTCTTTCCGTAAAGTCACGTAGAAGAGACGTAATAAAATAAATCTCATTAGAAGTATTAAAATCGCACTCTATAGATATGTATGTAAATTATCTGTTCAATCGATCCGGGGGTCGGATATGTGAACTGTGGGGGTACAGGACATGAATCGCATTCAAATTTTAGAATAACAATATGGTCGTAATTGGTTCTTTACCCTTCTATCTGGCCATAAAACTGACACCTTTTTGCAAGGAGTCATGTTTGCATAGACCGCAATACCTGCAGTCATAAATACAAACAAAAGACATAACTCTGATAATGTGCACTGTCCTTATGTCTTTTGTTTGTATTTATGACTGCAGGTATTGCGGTCTATGCAAACATGACTCCTTGCAAAAAGGTGTCAGTTTTGTTGCCAGATAGAAGGGTAAAGAACTAATTATCATATTTTTACTGGCAAATGAGGTCCCCATAGTGTAGAATATGGTCGTATTAGCATTTTACTGTGCTTGAATGTATGTTATGTGCAAATGCAAATCGTTAGTCGTAAATGCGAGGGAGGGGTTAAGAGGTGCACGTTTAATCCAGTGTTAACATTTATTTTAGCATCATATTTAAGGACAATATTGTTGATAAGAATTCGTCTGGACATGGCACGTGCCTTGTTCTACTCGATCAACCAAAATTAGTACAATGTCGGTCATACAGGAGTGTGATTTCATTCATGAGTAGTATTCACAGAGCCCCGATGACACTAACCTACCTAAAGTTATGGTTAAACAAAGTAATCTTGAGTGACTTAAATATCAGCTCAGACATGATCATTGCAATCATTTCCAAAGACGTGTGGGATCCTGCGAGAGCAAGTCCCGACTACAAACAGCTGGGCAGCAGAATCCTAAGTAGCTGCGTCGCCCTCGAAATGTGATGTTGCTGCTGCTGTTGTCGCTACTGTTGTTGCTGCTGTAGTTGCTTCTGTTGCTGTGATATACGCAGGGAGGTGGTGTTCCGTGATGGGATGACGCTTTTGATTAAAGCCTCTGATCAAACTCACCCGATTGATGCCCTTGATCGTCGCATTTGATCAACTCTGATATTGTAGACTCTCACATGTTAAGCTCTAACATAGTGAAACATAATATTATAACCTATGAACTACAACCTATCCATTGTAACGCTGTAAAAGAATATTACCCATTGGGTTTCACTCCCTCGTCGAGAAGGCCGCTCTCATCCTTTTCTAAAGTTACATGCTAATTTCTCTGCATTCACTTTAAATCGAGGACAAAGTTTTTCCATTTATTCAAAATAAGCGCACAATTACACACTGAGATGCACTTACATATTCATGCATGAAGCACAATGGGCACATTACCCTTCGGTATGTTAATAGACATGCGGATTGTAACTTCCAAAATTAACAATCGAATGCAAATATCCTGAAAGACAAAGGATTGGATCCTTGGGGGGGAGCTATAAGGCGGCTCAGAAGCAGAGCTCAATGCCATTTCGAGAGGGAACTTGATGAGATTGGACGCTCGACTCGTCGCTCTGCTGATCGCCCTTCAACCGCGAGACAACGCAGTCTGGCGAGCACAATTGCTGCGTCGACAGTTAGGCGACTTTGCGTCGGGAGAGTTCGTGGCGACATCTTCAGACGGGTTCTAGACATCGATATACCGTGAATCTCCAAGTAGGTGTCTATTTCGCGGATAAACTCTTAAACGTGTTCGTCGTCAAATTAGCGGGATTTTTTGCGTCTCGGTTAGACGCGAGTGTCGTTCTTGTTTTAGCTGTTAACAAAATCCAAAACTCAACGCTAAACATCCTTGCGGCCGATAGCGTACTTTTGACTCGATAACAGCGCTGCGCTCACATGGAGCAGAGACGCTCTCCACAGACCCACGTACACGGAGGCAAGAAGCCATCCAATTGCTCTGTGTGTGGGAAGGAATTTTCACGGCAATCAAATCTCAAGAGACACCAGAGAACACACACGGGTGAGAAGCAATTCCTGTGTTCTGTATGTGGGAAAACATTTGCACAGGCATCAAATCTTCAAACTCACCAGAGAACACACACCGGCGAGAAGCCATTCTTGTGCCCTGTGTGTGGGAAGACATTTGCAGACTCATCAACTCTTCAAACTCATCAGAGAACACACACAGGCGAGAAGCCATTCCTGTGCCCTGTGTGTGGGAAGACATTTGCACAGGCATCAACTCTTCAGCGTCACCAGAAAACACACACGGGCGAGAAGCCATTCCTGTGCTCTGTGTGTGGGAAGTCATTTGCACGGTCATCAACTCTTAACAGGCATCAGAAGGTCCACAATGATAGGAAGCTGAAATCAAAAGGTGAAATTCAAGGTGCTGCAATGAATTCTGAAGAAGATTCCACCTTCGATCCCATGCAGTTGGATCCCGAGAGATGGCTGGATGTAATGGAGTGGCTCGAGGATCAAACCGAGAGCTCGGGGTGACTGAAATGTGGCCGAAACGTCGTGAGAATTGTTTTATTATGTTTTATTTTTATTATTTTATTACTTCCCTTCTACGTGACTTTACCGAAAGAACCAAGAAGATGCTGGTAGAATGTTCCATCTGAATGGCACCGAATAGCAATATACAGTATTGATATTTTGCGTGGAGCCTACAAGCGCAACCTTGCGCATTTTGACCTGGTTCTCGACGCCCGTCCGGCGCCCATGGTAGAATCTTGTGCATTTCGGGGCGTCAAGGGTTCGCACCACAGCCTTGAAGGATTAGGCAGGTCCCTGGCTTCTTTTGAAGAATTTGACCAGGCTCCAGGCACCGGTTCCTCGCACGTGGCGGATCCTTGAGGCACCACGGGCCTTAAACTATACATTATAACGCTATACAATAACATTATTAACTAGTGTTATAGATTAGAACAACCTACAATGAAGTGTGATATTCTAATCGCATTCGAATTTTTCGAATCACTCCGTAATCCTCCTAAAATCACATTACAGTCGTAAGTATGTAACATGTCTGTAGTAAATATATGTGCATGTATGTATGTAACGTGTATGTATGTAATATTGGGTTTGTGTGATTACTTTATATATACATACTGAATATTGCTATTTGATGCCATTGAGATTAACATTCATCCAGCAGTGGATAGCTTGGTCCAATACCACCAAAGTGTTATTCAAATAATTTTAATCCCATCCTGATTCTGCACGTTCCGTTTCACATATCCCACCATTGGTTCGCACGTCCATATTACATACATGCACTAGCAGTCGCCGCCCGCTTCGCAGTCGGTGTGCATATGCTTGGTTGGTGCGGAGTTGAAAGTGGCTGGACACAATATACATGTTTTGGTGATTGTTCAATGTTTATTTTTGTGAGGTTATATTTATTTTTATGAGACGCTCAATCGACAATATTAAAGAATGCAACTTATTCAAATATAGAATGCAACCTATTGAAATATCTGGCGATACACGATATTCTTCGTGTACACTCAGTCTTCCTCCTCGTCGTCAGGTCCCTCAATAAGCGCCTTGATGTTGGATCTTGCCGTGACTCGCGATAGTGCCACGTACAGTTGGCCGTGCGAGAAGCATGGCGTTGGTAGATATAATCCCAGGTTGTGAACAGTTTGCCCTTGCGCCTTGTTGATGGTCATCGCGAAGGCTGGGACAATGGGGAACTGTTTGCGCCGAAGTCAGAATGGGAAGTCCTTCGTGTTGTCGTCGCTGATGAAGATGATCCGAGGGATCAACACCTCCTTACCGTTATGGGTTCCTGTCATGATAGTCGCGCGAATGACGGGTGGCTTCATTTGCACGATGCGAAGCCGTGTTCGGTTGCACAGGCCAGCGTCCGGGTTCAAGTTGCGCAATATCATCACTGGGATGCCTTTGTTGAGGATCAACTTGTGTGGGGGAACCCCGTTGATGTTCACCGAGTTGAGGACCTCTGTCTCAAAGAATGCTGACCCTGCTCTCTCGTCGTCCTCAACCGAATCTGTAGACAGGTACACTTGTGGAGTTTCTCTGAGACGATCCACGACACCCTCATTCACTCGCTGCACAGCGGCGTTGGTCGGTGTCAGAATAGTGCGGCGAGCGAAGTAGTCGTTCGTTGCCACCGTAGGGTAATTCAATTCATCTGCACTGTACATGGCATCGACAATCCTCTTCAACCCGAGTGGAACGGGCAGATGACTGCCGTCCTCATCTCCGTCGATGTCTGGGTCGTATTCAGGATTGTCGATCACCATGGCACGCGGAGTCTTCATGCAATCTGGACCGAGGTCTGGATCAACTTCATGCCTACCCTCTCCGACTTCCAAAATAAATTTTGAAAAGGCAGCAAGTTCTGCGGCGGATTCTTGGTTCTCTGCACACTGGACTCTCATGTTCACAGTCAGATGAACTTGCTTGAAGTGGGACCACAGGTCGGACGACTTGAAATACGCATCCACAGTATCAGCTGGTGTTCCTTTCTTGACAACTGGAAGAATCTGTCGAAAGTCAACGGACAGGACAACCACTTTGCCTCCAAACGGTTCATGCAGATTGTCCAAAATATCGCGAAGTGTGCGATCCACTGCTTCAAACGCAAACCTGGGCGTCATTGGGGCTTCATCCCAAACGATAAGACTTGCCTCCTTGATAAATGTTTTGAGCTTGGACTGTTTGCGAATGAAGCATGTGGATATGTTCGTAGGTTTCAACGGGATCTTGAACATGGAATGCGCGGTACGGCCGCCTGGAAGCAGCAGCGAGGCAATGCCGCTGGAATCAACAGCAATCGCAATCTTGCCTTGAAGACGTATCTTCGCCAGCACATGGTTGAGCAGCGTGGACTTCCCCGTGCCGCACGGACCATCGATGAAAAACAGCTTTTGATCGGGTTGACTGTCTTCGACTGAGCCAACAATTTCGTCGTAGATTTCTCTCTAGTTCGTGTTGAGTCTGTCAGCATGTTCTACGATGTCTTGTAGCTCGTTTCTATCATATCCTTCCAATTCGCGGCGGATATGGTTGTTCTCAAGCAGCGAGTCCAAGACCAAGTGTGGGTACTCGGAAAGCTGCGGGAGGTCGTCAAAGTCCGACAGAGCCATCCCACCTGCCGTGAGGAACTCGTGGAGGCTGTGAAGGGTCTTAAACTTTGCCATTTGTTCTTTGTTGGTCAGCTCGCGGTACTGGTACTCGTAATCGCGAGCCAATTCGTCGTAGAATTAATCCCAGAGATCCTTCGTATCTGCTGGCATGGAATACAGCAGAATCGTAGCGAAGAGTTGACGAAGCTGGTACGGCATCTGAAAGAGCGAGGCTTCTTCCAGACACGCAACCCATTCGCGATCGCTCTCAAGGTAGCCTGCTCGCATTTGATCAACTCTGATATTGTATACTCTCACATGTTAAGCTCTATCATAGTGAAACATAATAGTATAACCTATGAACTACAACCTATCCATTGTAACGCTGTAAAATAATATTACCTATTGGGTTTCACTCCCTCGTCGAGAAGGCCGCTCTCTTCCTTTTCTAAAGTTACATGCTAATTTCTCTGCATTCACTTTAAATCGAGGACAACGTTTTTCCATTTATTCAAAATAAGCGCACAATTACACACTGAGATGCACTTACATATTCATGCATGAAGTACAATAGACACATTACTCTTCGGTATGTTAATAGATATGCGGATTGTACCTTCCAAAATTAACAATCGAATGCAAACATCCTGAAAGACAAAGGATTGGATCCGAGGGGGGGAGTTATAAGGCGGCTCAGAAGCAGAGCTCAATGCCATTTCGAGAGGGAACTTGATGAGGTTGGACGCTCGACTCGTCGCTCTGCTGTTCGCCCTTCAACCGCGAGACAACGCAGCCTGGCGAGCACAATTGCTGTGTCGACAGTTAGGCGACTTTGCGTCGGGAGAGTTCGTGGCGACATCTTCAGACGGGTTCCAGACATCGATATACCGTGAATCTCCAAGTAAGTGTCTATTTTCGGGGATAAACTCTTAAACGTTTTCGTCGTCAAATTAGCGGAATTTTTTTGCGTCTCGGTTAGAGTGTCGTTCTTGTTTTAGCAGTTAACAAAATCTGAAACTCAACGCTAAACATCCTTGCGGCCGATAGCGTACTTTTGACTCAATAACACCACTACTGTTACTACGCTCACATGGAGCAGAGACGCTCTCCACAGCCCCACGCACACGGGGGCAAGAAACAATTCAATTGCTCTGTGTGTGGGAAGGCATTTTCATGGTCATCAAGTCTTAAGAGACACCAGAGAACACACACGGGTGAGCAGCCATTCCTGTGCTCTGTGTGTGGGAAAACATTTGCACACTCATCACATCTTCAGAGTCATCAGAGAACACACACGGGCGAGAAGCCATTCCTGTGCCCTGTGTGCGGGAAGACATTTGCACAATCGACAACTCTTCAAACTCATCAGAGAACGCACACGGGCGAGAAGCCATTCCTGTGCCCTGTGTGCGGGAAGACATTTGCACAATCGACAACTCTTCAAACTCATCAGAGAACACACACGGGCGAGAAGCCATTCCTGTGTCCTGTGTGTGGGAAGACATTTGCACACTCATCACATCTTCAGCGTCACCAGAGAACACACGGGCGAGAAGCCATTCTTGTGCCCTGTGTGTGGGGAGGCATTTGCACACTCATCAAACATGAACAGGCATCAGGTGATGGTGTATATTTACGTATGAATATACACCATCACCTAATGTTATCAAAATACATGTTACATCCTCATATTCTCACAAATTCAATACGCGCACTTAATGCAGTGATAGTCTACAACGATTTCATGGCGATTGTTGGCAACAATCATCACGGGCAATAGTTTCCACAGAATGTTCTATTGTAAAGATCTGGATGCCCATAATCTGAACACATTTTATTGCAGCACCCATAATGGGTAACTGGAATGGCAACTTCCAATCAGCTCACAGACATAATTCATGAGATTGCCTGATATCATTCTGTCTTCATTGGTAATGAATGGCGACTTCATTTGCCTGCACGAGTGGGATATGGCATGACGTGTTGGTGGAGAGATGGAGTGATGGTGTTGGGAGATGGTGTTGTGATACGGAGAGGTGAAATTGTGGAATGTTCTGGAGAGACGGTGCCTTGTGATGGTATTGACGCTTTATGAGGCTCTATGCTATTGTATTGATTCTCGATTTGAAGCTTTCGTGACTGCGAGGATTCATACTCACGTCTGTGACTTTACCGAAAAAACCTAAGAAATAGTCACATACGTGACTTCACCGAAAAAACCTAAGAGTATATTGTATCGAGTTGGTGGTGATGTAAAGAGATTGTGTGGTGATGTGAGGTGTAATGATGTTGTGGTTCAATGGTGTTGGAGTGTGGAGAGAATGTGGTGTTTGACTCCCATAGACCCCATACACACCTTTGGGGAACGATTTTCATAGCTTTGGCCTGGGAAAGGGTCCACTTCATCCATAATGTCCCCCCACGTGGTCGACTGGCGCCATGACTCCCGGGCTACGGAAAACAAAATTAATTCAAAAGACGAGTAATGTATGAGAGAACGAAGCACGTGGATATTCACACAACTAATTCTGAGATTCTTGTAATTACCTCTTAACACATAACATGACCTGCTGTTGAGAAATATTAATCACATGGCAGTAAAACATTGCAAGTCATATTTTTGTAAGCATGTTGAGATCATCAATTTCATAAAGTTGAGACCCCCGTTTAAACCAATATGGCTGAAACGCAGTTCTAAATCCATGCTGTCTGCCACCCTTGACCGTTTACCTCTTCCCATCACCACCAAGCCACGTCCACTAAAAATAATGAATCAGGGAGCTGCCTTCTCTGCATTAAAACCACGTGATGCAGGTAACTGGGACTTACCATCATAGTCCTCCAAGATGTCAGCCCACTTGCGTTGTCTGTCCATGTTGTTGGGAAGGAGTCGTTTCTGTTGTTGGAGGGCCTGGGGAGGTTGTAAAAACGCTCAGATTTAGCAACCTTTTGAATCACTCATCCTCTCAATTATTACATATTTGACCACTCGCTGTACCAATCAAATCACTTTCGTGTCGTTGGTTTTACAAGTCCACTCACTCGCTTGTTTGCCCGCTCACAGGTGCGTCAGATCACTCACTCATCTACCCACGCGAACATGTTTATTCCAACTGCCTATTGCATTAAACATAATCGCCAGACATAACCGTGATGTTTAACCTCTAATCCAGACAAGCATGTTGATGCACAGCCCATTTGTATTAATCGACTGTTTGATAAAGGCCCCCTATGTCTTGTAGGTCATTGGGGTCAAATGACCATACTTAAATCATTTGTTATAACCCGAGAATGACGTCGTAGGTCACGTGATGTCAGAGGTACCGCCCATGTGCCTGTGACATCACAGATAGGAGACGTCTATGGCAGCAGCTTGGGTCTGAACTAAAAGGCAGACTCCTCCCCCGTGTTGGATAACATTCAATACATGTAATGCAGGGCACAATTATGCAGGCAATCAGAACACAATCATTATGGACATGTTAATCATATTTTATAAGATTAAAACAGGTTAGTTATGAACGTTTTAAATGTTGACTTATTTTGGGTCTAAACAATGACAGTAACAGCAACATATCAGAGCATGCCAAGTAACCTAATAGTCCTAATTTGGTTGCAGAAAATCCAAATACCAACATTTAGTTTGTAGTCAAAACGTGCAATAAAAATAAACAACACGCATCGTCAACAGGGACGCTCACGATAATTGTTTTTTACCCTTCTATCTGGCAACAAAACTGACACCTTTTTACAAGGAGTCATGTTTGCATAGACCGCAATACCTGCAGTCATAATACAAACAAAAGAACATAAATCTGATAATGTGCACTGTCCTTGAAGTTGATTGGTCCACACCCGAGACAGCTTTCCTTAGAGCCTAGTCTCACATGGGTTGGACCTGATGACGCCAAAAGGCGCACTGTAAAAAGGTGTCAGTTTTGTTGCCAGATAGAAGGGTAAAAAACAATTATCATATTTTTACTGGCAAATGAGGTTCCCATAGGGACGCTCACCTCGTTGACGATTCGCTCTGCAAAGGCTTCTGCTGCTGCTCACTCGTGCGCATTCCTCTCGACTGCGGGTGGAGGCGTGGCTATGACGTAACAGAGGTGACGTCACTACAGCGAGGCTCCGCCCCCACGCGCTTGGCGGGCGCACCACGTGGTGCAGTGCGGGTGGTGTGCGTCACCGGAAACAGCAGAGCCCTCTGTTCGACATTAAACATTTGCCCCCTCGCTTTGTGCTGTCTTTGATGTCGCCGTTACTGCGGCGAGGACTGAAGCGATGCCTGGCCATCAGGCCTGGCATATACCTAGGCCTCAGGCTTCATATTTGTTCGTAGTTATTTTTTGTTTAATTGGAATTATTAACTTGCATTTCATTAATTACATTTCAAGCGTATAAACACCATAACATTGGTTTATTTACTTTTAAATTCAGGTTTGTAGTATAGTTATTGATCTGTAGTTATATTTAAGTGAGTGAGGTGGTTGTACTAAGTGTGAATTTGAGTTCCATGTAAATTATTATTGTGTAAAGGATTTGTCTGTGTGCACCTATCCTGGCAGTGGTAATTAGGGCTTTTTATAATTAAGTTGTTAATGAGATTGTTTATTTGTGTGTGTCTGTTATCGATGTCTGTGTAAGGTTACATATCTATGTTTGTAGCTCTGTGTGTTTGTTAATTTATGATGGGTGGTGATGATGATGTTTCTTGATAATGGATGGTGGTGATGATAATGTGTAGTGATTATGATGGGTGGTAGTGATGATGATGGGTGGTGGTAATGATTGGGGAGTTATGATGATGGGTGGTGATGGTTATGGGTGGTGATGATGATGGGTTGTTGTGATTATGGATGATTGGTGATGGTTATGATGAATGTTGGTTGTGATGGTTGGGTGGTGGTGGTGGAGACGATGGTTGGTGATGGTGAGTTGATAGTGATAATGATGATAATGGGTGTTGATACTGATGATTTGTGTTGATGATTATGGGTGGTGTTGAGTAAATGAGCAACCACCAGACACATAACAGCAACAGAAGTAACTAAATCAGCACCAATAACAGCAGCGACAACAGCAGCAGCAACAACACATTTTGAGGGCGACGCAACTACTTCCGATTCTGCTGTTTCTGCTGCTCGACTATTTGTAGACAGGACCTGCTCTCGCGGGACCCCACACGTCTTTGGAAATGATTGCGATCATGTCTGAGCTGAGAATTAAGTGACTAAACGTTACTTTGTTTAACCATAACTGTGTGTAGGTTAGTGTCTGGGAGCTTAGCGAATACTACTCATGAATGAACTCGCACTCCTTTATGACCGACATTCTACTAATTTTGGTTGATCGAGACGAACAAGGCACGTGCCATGTCCAGAATAATTTTTATTACCAATATTGTCCTTAAATATGATGCTAAAATAAACATTAACACTGGATTAAACCTGCACCTCTTAACCGCTGCCTCGCATTTACGACTAACAATTTGCATTTTACACGTAACATGCAGTCAAGCACAGTAAAATGCTAATACGACAATATTGTTATTCTAGGAATTTAATATTGTTATTCTAGGAATTTAAATTCTAAAATGCTAATACGACAATATTGTTATTCTAGGAATTTAAATTCGATTCTAACCCTGCACCCCCAACAGTTCGCATATCCAACCCCCGGTTTAATGGAACGTTCGCTTTACATACATATGAGCAGAGTACGATTATAATACTTCTAATGAGATTTGAATACCGTACCTCAGTTTATGGTGTAATGAATTAGGAAACCAGTCTATAGTCGTTTAATGGTGAGTGGTATCGTTTATAGTGATACAGCTGAAGTCATAGAGATGAAACGGCCTAAGTGTGTACGAATGTAGATAGGGCGTCGCCGTTGGTTCGTCCACCCATCGCGCCTCAAGACTTATGTCCGTCCCCACCCAGACAGCTCATCCCCATGTCCTGTACAGCCCAAGTCTGGTGTGTCCAACGTGGTGGGGCACTCGGCAACGGAAACCGTACACCAAAGGAAATGTGTTGTGGCGCTCACAGTTTCCTAGCCCCTGAGGCCCGGGGTGCTTCAATGATCTCCCGCGTGTGAGGAATCGGTGCCTGGAGCCCAGTCATGTTTCTCAAAAGAAGCCAGGGACCTGCCTAACCCTTCAAGGCTGTGGTGCGAACCCTTGACGCCCCGAAAGGCACAAGATTCTACCATGGGCCTTTAACGCGGTTTTAGACCCCAGGCGTCACGATATAGCAACGACGACGACGAGACAGCAACCAGCCAACACAGCCCCAAACCTCGTTCCTCCCCCTCTCTCATTCTCGGCGTGAACCTCCGCCCACACTTGGTCCCGCCTTCCCTTCTCGAACTCTCTTTATCTTGTTGTCACCACTTGTCCCTTAGTTGACGCATTGTCTTTACATCACCCACCTCTATGACCTCTACCTGACCCCGCCATGGGCGGAGCAACTTGGGGGATTTTCCCGGTGGCACCTGTGGGCAATACAACCATGCCCTGTCCCCCACTGCTCATGGAAGCACGTGTTCCCGCCGCCCCGAGTTATTTTCATTAGCGGATTGCGCTCTGGTGGGGAAAGGTCCTCGTTATGAATCGTTTCGCAACGTTCAGGTCCAGAATACCGAAGTACACCGGGAATCACCTGTACAAAAAAAACATGTAAACTGATAACACTATAAACAATAACACTCAACATTAAACGACAAAAAGATATCAACTGGTTTTATTATTTATACCACCATAAACGCAGGTACGGTATTTAAATCTCATTAGAAGTATTAAAATCGCACTCTACACATATTTATGTAAATTATCTGTTCAATCGAACCGGAGGTCGGATATGTGAACTGTGGGGGGTACAGGGCAAGAATCGCATTTAAATTTTAGAATAACAATATTGTCGTATTAGCATTTTACTGTGCTTGAATGTATGTTATGTGAAAATGCAAATCGTTAGTCGTAAATGCGAGGGAGGGGTTAAGATGTGCACGTTTAATCCAGTGTTACCATTTATTTTAGCATCATATTTAAGGACACTGTGGTTGATAAGAATTCGTCTGGACGTGGCACGTGCCTTGTTCTACTCGATCAACCAAAATTAGTACAATGTCGGTCATAAAGGAGTGTGATTTCATTCATGATTAGTATTCACAGAGCCCCTATGACACTAACCTACCTAAAGTTATGGTTAAACAAAGTAATTTTGAGTGACTTAATTCTCAGCTCAGACATGATCATCGCAATCATTTCCAAAGACGTGTGGGGTCCTGCGAGAGCAGGTCCCGACTACAAACAGCTGGGCAGCAGAATCGGAAGTAGCTGCGTCGCCCTCGACATGTGATGTTGCTGCTGTTGTTGTCGCTGCTGTTGTTGCTGCTGTAGTTGCTTCTGTTGCTGTGATATACGCAGGGAGGTGATGTTCCGTGATGGGATGACGCCTTTGATTAAAGCCTCTGACCAAACTCACCCGATTGACGCCCTTGATCGTTGAATTTGATCAACTCTGATATTGTATACTCTCACATATTAAGCTCTATCATAGTGAAACATAATATTATAACCTATGAACTACAACCTATCCATTGTAACGCTGTAAAAGAATATTACCTATTGGGTTTCACTCCCTCGTCGAGAAGGCCGCTCTCTTCCTTTTCTAAAGTTGCATGCTAATTTCTCTGCATTCACTTTAAATCGAGGACAAAGTTTTTCCATTTATTCAAAATAAGCGCATAATTACAAACTGAGATGCACTTACATATTCATGCATGAAGCACAATTGGCACATTACCCTTCGGTATGTTAAAAGACATGCGGATTGTACATTCAAAAATTAACAATCGAATGCAAATATCTTGAACGACAAAGGATTGGATCCTAGGGGGGGAGTTATAAGTCGGCTCAGAAGCAGAGCTTCTACCAACATGATTTAAATTTATATCCGAAAGAAGTATGAGTTCATTCATGAGTAGTATTCACTAAGCCCCGATTGCACTAACCTACACAGAGTTATGATTAATCAAAGTAAACATTAGTCGCTCATCCCAGCTCAGACATGATCATAGCAATCATTTCCAAATCCGTGTCGGGTCCCACGAGAACAGGGCACGTCCACAAACTCTCAAATTGTAAACTCACAGAGCATACTCTAACATTATAAACTCTAACAATATAATCTTTAAACTATGAGCTATACATTGTAACGCTTTAAAATAACACTACAAACTAGTGTTATAGTAAACTATAATGTTAAGCTATGAGCTATACATTATAACGCTATAAAATAACAATAAACTGGTGTTAAAGATTTTATTTCGATTTAAAGCTTTCGTGACTGCAGGGATTCATCTTCTTGGTTCTTTCGGTAAAGTCACGTAGAAGGGAAGTATTAAAATAATAAAAATAAAACATAATAAAACAATTCTCACGACGTTTCGGCCACAACGCAAGCAGCCGTCCTCAGGTGAAAACCAGGTCCGTCGAGGCGACAGAGTCTGAATGAAACAGCACACGAGCTTGGAGCATATATATAAGCTGGGCGCATTGACAAAGGAATTTGCATATCAAAAGGAATTTAGCATATTTATGGGAAATGCAGGAATGTGATTAGTACTGCATATGTGTTAAAGATTAGAACACCGTACATTGAAGTGTGATATTTGAATTCGAATTCTTAGCTTCACAACGTGGTCCTCTAGGAATCACAATTTGCTCGTCAGTATGTAACATGTCTGTATGTAATATGTATGCATGAGATATGTCTGTATGTAATATATATGCATGTAACATGTATGTATGTAATATGGACGTGCGAACCAATGGTGGGATATGTGAAACATGAAGGTGCAGGATCAGGATGGGATTACAATTATTTGAATAACACTTTGGTGGTATGCGCCGCAGCCTGGCTGCCCAGCAGATACCAAGGAGGAATTTTGGGAACAATTGATGGACACATGCAATCAAATAAATGGAGAAGAGCAGTTAGTAATTGGTGGAGACCTAAATGGACACGTTGGAAACGCCCGGGATGGATACCCTCGAAACCATGGTGGCCAAGGATATGGTACCCGGAACGATGAGGAAAACCGAGCCCTGGACTTTGCGGAAGCCCATGATCTTGTCCTCGCCAACACCTTCTTCAAGAAGAGACCGTCCCATCTCATTACGTACGCCAGTGGTGGGAGATCAACTCATTGATTTCTGGCTTGTCAAGCGGGATAAGCTGAAAACGGTGACAAACACTAAAGTCATACCATCGGACAACATCACCCCACAACATCGCATCCTGATCATGGACATGAAAATGGACATTGGCCAGCGACATCGCCCACCAACAACGGAACAGCAGCAAATTAAGTGGTGGCGGATGAAGGAATGCAAAGATCAGCTGAGAGTCGCCCTCAATCAGATTGACGTGAACACCAACCGACCAGCGAATGCGATTTGGGAAGATCTCGCCGGCCAACTGTGCACAGCGGCAACGGAAGCACTAAGGCTAACTGAGCCGGCAAAATACTTCATTGACAAGCAAATATGGTGGTAGAACGAAGAAGTTCAGCTAGCAGTGAAAGAGAAGAAGCTAGCTTTCAAGAAGTGGCGCAAAACGCTCGCAGATCTGGATTACCAACAATACAGAAACTGCAAATCGGCATCGAAGCGAGTAGTAGCAGCGGTGAAATTAGCTCAATACGACCAACTGTATGTCGAACTGGACACCCCAGAAGGTGCCAATAAGATCTATCGACTGGCAGAGGCGCGCCATCGTTCGACTCAGGATATTGGTCAGGTCAAATGCATAAAGGATGAGAATCACAGCGCTCTCAGAGACCCACCCGCCATCCTTCAACGCTGGAGCGAATACTTCTCTAGAATCTGCAACCAGGAATTTCCCCACCCACCTATTATTAGCGCTGAACACGTCCTCGATCCGGTTTCACCTATCACCATCACCGAAGTGGAACAAGCTATCAAGAGAATGAAGAATGGGAAAGCGACTGGCCCGGACGATATACCTGCTGAGGCCTGGAAGATCCTTGGCAGGCAGGGTGCTGCCCTCCTTACCCAACTCTTCAGCACCATCACGAGCACCGGTGAGGTCCCAGAAGCCTGGTCGACCAGCACGACGGATCCAATTTGGAAGGGTAAAGGGGCCGTGGCAGAATGCTCGAATTACAGGCCAATCCGGCTCCTGTGTCATGCGATGAAGATCTTTGAGCGAGTTTTGGACACAAGGATTAGAAACATCGTCACCCTATCACCCAACCAATGCGGCTTCGTCAAAGGATGTGGCACTACGGACGCCATATTCGCGGCGAGGCTCCTGCTGGAGAGGCACAGAGAGAAGAACAAAGCTGTGCACGTGTCGTTCCTCGACCTTGAAAAGGCATTTGACAGGGTCCCCCACGACCTCATCTGGCACTCGCTTCGATCCCATGGAGTCCCTGAAACCTACGTGCATTGGGTGCAACTCCTATACAAGAACGTTACCAGTGCAATCAGGTGTGCAGTGGGCATATCACCGCCATTTCCCATCAGCGTTGGAGTGCACCAAGGATCGGCCCTGTCACCACTCCTGTTTATCCTGTGCATGGACACGGTCACTGCCGACCTGCACACGCCCCTGCCATGGTCAATTCTCTACGCGGATGACGTCCTCCTCACAGATGAAGAGAGAGGAGAAGTGGAAAGACAAACGCGCCTGTGGAAGGAACGTTTGGACGAAAACGGGATGAGGTTCAACATCAAAAAGACGGAGTATATGGAGTGTGGCCCCCAAACCGACGGCACCATCAGCATTGACGGAGAAGATCTGAAGAAAGTGACGGACTTCAAGTACCTGGGCTCCACCATCAGCTCAGATGGTAGCATCACGACTGATGTGAGGTCACGAGTCAATGCGGCATGGATGAAGTGGAGGCAAGTCACCGGAGTCCTCTGTGATAGGAAAATGCCGGATAGGCTGAAGGGAAAAATTTACAAGACCATCGTCCGACCGGTGGCACTCTATGGATCCGAGTGCTGGCCAGCCACAACTGTACACGAACAAGCTCTCCACACCATGGAGATGAGGATGCTCAGATGGAGCCTCGGACTCACTCGATGGGATCGTGTCATGAACGAAGACGTTCGGAATCGACTTGGTGTGGCCCCCATTGCGGACAAGATGCTTGAGGCAAGGCTTCGGTGGTACGGCCATGTGATGCGAAGTGAAGAGTCATCAGTGGCCAAGACTGCCATGCGTATTGAGCCAGAGGGCCGCCGTCCACGCGGACGTCCGAAGAAGCGATGGATGGATCGAATAAAGGAAGACATAAAGACGGTCAACGCATCCCCTGAAGATGCCCTGGACCGAGCCAAATGGAGAAGACAATGCCGAAAAGCGGACCCTGCGCCACAGCGGGAACAACGCTAGGAAGAAGATTACCTATTGGGTTTCACTCCCTCGTCGAGAAGGCCGCTCTCTTCCTTTTCTAAAGTTACATGCTAAATTCTCTGCATTCACTTTAAATCGAGGACAAAGTTTTTATTCAAAATAAGCGCACAATTACACACTGAGATGCACTTACATATTCATGCATGAAGCACAATGGGCACATTACCCTTCGGTATGTAAACAGACATGCGGATTGTACCTTCCAAAATTAGCAATCGAATGCAAATATCCTGAAAGACAAAGGATTGGATCCTAGCGGGGGAGTTATAAGGCGGCTCAGAAGCAGAGCTCAATGCCATTTCGAGAGGGAACTTGATGAGGTTGGACACTCGACTCGTCGCTCTGCTGATCGCCCTTCTACCGCGAGACAACGCAGCCTGGCGAGCACAATTGCTGTGTCGACAGTTAGGCGACTTTGCGTCGGGAGAGTTCGTGGCGACATCTTCAGACGGGTTACAGACATCGATATACCGTGAATCTCCAAGTAAGTGTCTATTTTCGCGGATGAACTCTTAAACGTTTTCGTAGTTAAATTAGCGGGATTTTTTTGCGTCTCGGTTAGACGCGAGTGTCGTTCTTGTTTTAGCAGTTAACAAAATCTAAAACTCAACTCTAAACATCCTTGCGGCCGATAGCGTACTTTTGACTCGATAACACCGCTGCTGTTACTACGCTCACATGGAGCAGAGACGCTCTCCACAGCCCCACGTACACGGAGGCAAGAAGCCATTGAATTGCTCTGTGTGTGGGAAGTCCTGTTCACGGCCATCAAATCTTAAGAGACACCAGAGAACACACACGGGCGAGAAGCCGTTCCTGTGCTCTGTGTGTGGGAAGGCATTTGCGCACTCGTCAACTCTTCAAGACCATCAGAGAACACACACGGGCGAGAAGCCATTCCTGTGCCCTGTGTGTGGGAAGGCATTTGCACACTTGTCAACTCTTCAGAGACACCAGAAAACAAACACGGGCGAGAAGCCATTCCTGTGCTGTGTGTGGGACGGCATTTTCACAGTCATCAAACATGAACAGTCATCAGAAGGTCCACAATGATAGGAAACTGAAATCAGAAGCTGAAATTCAAGGTGCTGCAATGAGTCCTGAAGAAGTTTCCACCTTCGATCCCATGCAGTTGGATCCCGAGAGATGGCTGGATGTAATGGAGTGACTCGAGAGTCAACCAGAGAGCTCGGGGTGACTGAAACATAATATTGCATGTGGTTATACCTATTACGCCGTATCGAGTACTTTTGTGTGTAATTTTGACTATTTTAGTTTTACAGTTTGTGAGAGTTTATTGGCGTGCCCAGTGGTGGTTTGTAATGTTATGGGATAACTTGCCGAAGTGGTGTGATGAGCACTGGCTGTGAGACTGTTCAATTGTAGTCGTTATGTGTTCCTGTTGAGCTAAAGTTGGAATGCGTCTGTAGGTACATCTTTACTCAACATTTTAAAGATGTTTTGTCAAGTGTATGGCTTTTTTTGATTGGTTTTAGATTTCAGGATGTACATTGATGACGCGTTCGTTGGATATATGGCCTTGACTTCAACATAGACGCACAGTGAACACATGTGGTGAACTAATAAGGAAATAATGGGGAATGATATTTTAACGCTTTGGTATTCCTGGAACGGATATGGTTTGCATTGCACTGTAACTGTTTGAACATAGGACATAATACATTCGGTTCGAGTTTTGACGTAAAAATGATTGCAGATGAATAAAAACGTATTTTTAACAAATGTTTGTCCGTTTATTTATTCATAGCAAAAACGTGTTTTAAGCGAGTTTCAGGTGGAGGATCTTCGTCACACAAATCTGCCCTTAACCGGCAGCAACTTGGCTGTCTCTCCATTTAACATGTGTCCCTGGAGGGGAAAGGGCCCCATTATAAATCGATTCACAACGTTACGGTCCCTAATCATCAAGTACACAGGGAATCCTGTACGCTATGACACGTGAACTGTAACACTATAAACGATAACACGTAACATTAAAATACTATAAACTAGTTTAATCATTTATAACACCAAAAACAGAGGTACGTTTTTATAATCTCATTACAAGTATTAGAATGACAATGTGATTGTATTAGAATCACACTCTGCGCATATGAATGTATAGTGTACGTTCACTGTGCTCGTATGTACGTAAGTAATATGCATTTATGGCATTTTGACATGCGAACAGGTGGTCGGATATGCGAATTGGGGGGTGCAGGATTATGATCGGATTCAAATTATTAGAATAACACTATGGTAGTATTAGAATTACATTGAGCTAGAATGTATGTTATATGTAGATGCACATCGGGAGTCGTAAATGCGGCCTGGTTGGTGCCAGATTTAGAATCGCATCAAAATTATTAAAATCGCACCATGGTCGTATTAGAATCAAGCTGCCCACTGCTGGTAGAATGTTCCATTGCAATGGCACCGAATAGCAATATACAGCTTTCGTGACTGCAGGAGTTCATCTTCTTGGTTCTTTCGGTAAAGTCACGTAGAAGGGAAGTAATAAAATAATAAAAATAAAACATAATAAAATAATTCTCACGACGTTTCGGCCACAACGCAAGCAGCCGTCCTCAGGTGAAGAACATGTCTGTCGATAAGACAGAGTCTAAATGACACGTCTTAGGCTTGGAGTGTCTATTTAAGCTGTGAGGGAGGAGGAAGAGAGCCTTGACAAAAGAATTTACATATGAAGAGGAATTTAGCATATTTATGGGAAATGCAGGAATGCGAATAGTGCTAATTGTGAAATGCGTGGGAAGTGGGCGGGGGGTTTTCAAAGTCATATTATGCCCATGCATTATGCAGGATTAGCAGCATCAAAGGGAGGGGGCAAGGGCAGGGGCAGCACCAACAAAGGGAAGGAATGTGAATAGTATGCAGCTGCAGCAACCAAACAACCACGTAAAAAACGAAAGTATAAACTACATAGTATCATCAGTATGCCAAATACACTCTGAATAAGCTGAGCTACCAACCTTAAGTAATACATTACAATTCTAGTTCGCAAAAAATATATAATATGCTTCCAGCTAAAATTTTTTCCCTTACATCAAACAGGTCTAGCCCGTACTATATGCTGCCATAGACAAACCCAACATTAATTATATACTGTATTACTATACACCACCTTATACCTTATACATTGTTCTATTACACTATGTATTATTCTACCCACCCTAATGTATATCACACTGCTATATATTCACTATACAATTACGATACTATATATTACTTTGTACATTGTATTAAGCATATAAATGTTATACTATTTGTTATTATACACTGTACCATTGACCGTCGTGTGAAAGATACTAAGAGGCAGCAACGAAATATGAGAATGGGAGAGTAGCAGAGCAAAGAATCCATTCCCTGCGGAGAATACAATGCCAGTGAGTGGAACGCGGTCTGAGAGTCACCGTAAACGTGAACACAATCAGTTAAGATCCGAAATGGTTTATTACGTCCTTCCAATGATTGCTAAGCCAGAATCCATCTTTTCGGTTGAAATTGTCTCTGTGTTTGTATATGTGGATCGCCTCATGAACGAATCTCTCATGATAGCCAGATGGCTTGCAGAGAACCTCTGTCTTGGAGAAGTCAATGTCATGTGAGCCCACTGAATTGTAACAGTGATCTGCCACGGCTGAGGAGTTTGTCCTACCGTGTTTCAGGTCTGCTTTATGTTCACGGATGCGGTCCGAGACATGTCGTTTGGTTTCTCCAATGTAACTGCTACCACAGAGGCAACTAAGTTTGTAGACGCCAGGTTACTGTATGTCTGGAACCACATCTTTTACAGACGGGACCAGATCACGGATTTTATGTACTGTGTTGAATCGGACCTGGATCTTGTGTTTAATCAGGATTTTGGAGATCTTTTTTGTGACCCCAGCAATGTAGAGTAAGGTGATGGTCTTGCAAGGCTCCTCAACAGGATCCTTCTTGATGGTTGGAGTGATGGCCTTGCGGATTGTGTAGTCGGAGTAACCATTAGCCTTAAGAGCTTGGCGTACGTGTTTGAGTTCACTGGCAATGTGTTCCTGGTCGGAAATGCATTGGGCTCTATGGTATAGAATCTTGATGATGGAATTCTTCTGGGATGGATGGTGGTGGGAATCCGGTTTTAGGTAAGCATCCGTATGGGTGGCTTTCCTGTAGACAGAGTGGCTCATTGTACCATCAGGTCTCCTTTTAATTAGGACATCCAAAAAGGGGTAGCTTGCCATCTTTTTCGACTTCCATGGTGAATCTCATGGCTGGGTGTATGGAATTGATGTGGTCGAGAAATTGGTCTAGAGCAGGCCGGCCATGTGGCCAGATGACAAAAGTGTCGTCTACGTACCTCTTCCATAAGGTCGGGCGTAGAGTGTATTATGACTGCAGGTATTGCGGTCTATGCAAACATGACTCCTTGCAAAAAGGTGTCAGTTTTGTTGCCAGATAGAAGGGTAAAGAACCAATTATCATATTTTTACTGGCAAATGAGGTCCCCATAGTGACTTTAATTTTTTTTTATAATAGATTCCACCCTGAACGGAGTTACGGTATGAGAATGTCATTAGAAGCATTTTTATCGCTCATATGTATGTAAAGTGTACGTTCAATCGAATCGGGGGACGGATATGCGAACTGTGGGGGTTTGCAGGGTTAGAATCGCATTAAAATTATTCTAGTAACAATATGTTCGTATGCGCATTTTACTGTGCTTGAATATATGTTATGTGCAAATGCGAATCGTTAGTCATAAATGCTAGGCAGGGTTTAAAATGTGCATGTTTAATCCAGTGTTAACGTTAATCCAGTGTTAGCATTATATTTAAGGACAATATTGTTAATATAAATTCGTCTGGACATGGCACGTGCCTTGTTCGTCTCGATCAACCTCGATCAATTCAAGGTGCTGCAATGAGTCTTGAAGAAGTTTCCACCTTCGATCCCATGCAGTTGGATCCCGAGAGATGGCTGGATGTAATGGAGTGGCTCGAGAGTCAACCAGAGAGCTCGGAGTGACTGAAAAAATATTATGTCATGTGGTTATACCTTTTAATCCGTATCGAGTACTTTTGTGTTTAATTTTGACCATTTTTGTTTTACAGTTTTTGAGAGTTTAATGACGTGCACAGTGGTGATTTGTAATGTTATCGGATTACTTGCCGAAGTGGTGTGATGATCACTGGTTGTGAGAGGGTTCAATTTTAGTCGTTAAGTGTTCCTGTTGAGCTAAAGTTGGAATGCGTCTGTAGTTAGATCTTTACTCAACATTTTAAAAGGTTTTTTTTTCAAGTATAAAGTTTTTTTTGGTTGGTAATAATCGACTTTAGATAGTCGATTTCAGGATGTACATTGATGACGCGTTCGTTGGATATATGGCCTTGACTTCAACATGGACTCACAGTGAACAAATGTGGTGAACTAATAAGGAAATCATGGGGAATGATACTTTAACGTTTTGGTATTCCTGGAACGGAAATGGTTTGCATTGTTCTGGAAATGTGTAAACATAGGACATAATAAATATTCCCTTCGAGTTTTGACGTAAAAATGATTGCAGATGAATAAAAACGATTTTTTAACAAATGTTTGTCCGGTCTTTATTTTATAATGTTCCTAGCAAAAACATGTTAAGATAATTTCAGAAGGAGGATCTCCGTCACATAAGTATGTCGGGGATAAACTGTACTCTATAACATGTCAACTGTAATACTATGAACGATAACACTAAACATTAAACGATTATAAACTAGTGTTTCAATTTATAACCATATAAACGGAGCTAAGGTATTATAATATCATTAGAAGCATTAGAATCACAGTGTGGTCTATAATAATCGCTAATATGTATGTATAGTGTACGTGCAAGGATCGGATAAAAATTATTACAATTACAACATGGTCATATACAATCACGATTTTCACTGCTAGATGTCATCGATTAACAAGACGGAATATATTTATATAAATACACGCACAAACCAATTATAAACGCTTGCGATTATGAATCGTTACAATTTTATAACAATCACAAATTGTAACAAAGCGAAATTCCAACAAGCAAAACACCACGCTCACGTGAGTGGTGAGGGTGAGTGGTGATTCGTGAGGGTGTGATTGCTGAAGATGAGTGGTGAGGGAGAGTGGTGAGGGTGAATGGTGAGGGTGAGTGCTGAGTGGTGAGGGTGTGTATATATGTAAGGTTATTAAGACATATATTTTTCACCCGGGCAACGCCGGGTACTACTGCTAGTTAAAAATATACAGCATTGATATTTTGCGTGGAGCCTACAAGCGCAACCTTGCGCATTTTGACCTGGTTCTCGACGCCCGTCCCGCGCCCATGGTAGAATCTTGTGCATTTCGGGGCGTCAAGGGTTCGCACCACAGCCTTGAAGGATTAGGCAGGTCCCTGGCTTCTTTTGAAGAATATGACCGGGTTCCAGGCACCGGTTCCTCGCACGTGGCGGATCCTTGAGGCACCCCGGGCATCAGGGGCTCGGAAACTGTGGGCGCCACAACACATTTCCTTTGGAGTACGGTTTCCGTTGCCGAGAGCCCCACCGCGTTGGACACACCAGACTTGGGCTGTACAGGACATGGGGATGAGCTGTCTGGGTGGGGACGGACATAACTACATGCGTACACACTGCGGCCATTTCACCTCCATGACTTCTACCAGACCCCGCCGTGGGCGGAGCAACTTGGTGGACGTACCCGGTGTCACCTGTGGGCAACACAACCTGTCTACGACCGCCCATGGAAGCACGTGTTCCCGCCGCCCCGTGTTCTTTTCATTAGCGGCTTGCTAATCGTTTCACAACCTTCTGGTCCCGAAACCCGAAGTATACGGGGGATCACCTGTACTCTATAACATGTAAACTGATAACACTATGAACAATAACACTAAACATTCAACGACTTTAATTTTTTTTTATAATAGATTCCACCATAAACGGAGTTACGGTATGAGAATGTCATTAGAAGCATTCTAATCGCTCATATGTATGTAAAGTGTAGGTTCAATCGAATCGGGGGACGGATACGCGAACTGTGGGGGTTTGCAGGGTTAGAATCGCATTAAAATTATTCTAGTAACAATATGTTCGTATGCGCATTTTACTGTGCTTGAATATATGTTATGTGCAAATGCGAATCGTTAGTCATAAATGCTATAGGCAGGGTTTAAAATGTGCATGTTTAATCCAGTGTTAACGTTAATTCAGTGTTAGCATTATATTTAAGGACAATATTGTTAATATCAATTCGTCTGGACATGACACGTGCCTTGTTCGTCTCAATCAACCAAATTAGTTCAATGTCGGTCATAAAGGAGTGCGAGTTCATTCATAAGCAGTATTCGCTGATCGCCGATGATACAGACCTACACACAAAGTACTCTTTATTAAATTAACTATCAGCTCAGACATCATCATCTCAATCATTTACAAAGACGTGTGGGGTCCCACGAGAGCAGGGCCTGGCAACAAATATCTGAGCAGCGGAAGCAGCAGAATCAGAAGTAGCTGCGTCGCCCTAGAAATGTGATGTTGCTGCTGCTGTATTTGCTTCTGCGTCGATCAAGATTGACGCTCTTGATCAACTCTGACATTGTAAACTCTCACATGTTAAACTCTAACATAGTGAAATATAATATTATAACCGATGAACTACAACCTAGCCATTGTTACGCTTTAAAATACGATTAACTGTTATAGTGCAGAACCACATAATTGGAGGTGTGGGATTATAATCGCATACTAATCATTAGAATCGCACTGAGCTAATTAAAATCACACAGTTGTTGTACGTATGGTAAGTTAATATGACAACCGGGGGTAGGATATGCAGGATTATAATCGAATTACAATTATTCGAATCCCACTCGTATTAGAATCACACTGTCCACTGTTGGATGAATGTGTCCTATCAATGGAATCGAATAGCCATGTAAGTATATACAGTATACACAAATAAATAGTATAACAATCACACATTGTAACATAGATACAATAAACATTATTTAAAAAAACGTATTTAAAATATATATTCCACTTTTTTAAAACTCAGAATGTCGTCGTTCATGTGGGGAGATGGAGCGCAGTGGATCGTATTGTCTAAGGTGCTTTTCGGAATCCGTGTGATAACCCAGTCACATCGCCTAACTGCAGTGACAGCACCTTACCCAAGCTACATCTCCCCAACAAGACAGCCTTACCGATGCTCTATAGTGTTTATGGGATAACAGAGGTGTGTATTTTCCTATACGTCTTGCCCAAAACGACTGATTGTCCGCTAAACAGCCTAGCCTGTAAACCACCATTGGTGATAGTATTGTGTGAGAGCAGCTATTAGAGTCGTTTTGGCAAACGAGGTGGTGGCTGGCCAAACCATGCCTCGCTGTTTGTCTCCGGAGTGATGACGGATACAAACCAGACCAAGCGGAGACCATGTACCAGATCGGATTTTGGTTACTGATGTTAGAGTGATTGTGTGGCAAGTGTGGTCACTACGCGACTGTATGTGCTCACACACGAAGCTCGGCGATTTTTGGCAACGCCACGGGGCTGCATTCACTTTAAATAGAGGACAATGGAGGGCATGGGGAACGTGTTTTTCCATTTATTCAAAATAAGCGCACAATTACACACTGAGATGCACTTACATATTCATGCATGAAGCACAAAGGGCACATTACCCTTCGGTATGTTAATAGACATGCGGATTGTTCCTTCCAAAATTAACAATCGAATGCAAATATCCTGAAAGACAAAGGATTGGATCCTAGGGGGGGGGAGTTATAAGGCGACTCAGAAGCAGAGCTCAATGCCATTTCGAGAGGGAACTTGATGAGGTTGGACGCTCGACTCGTCGCTCTGCTGATCGCCCTTCAACCGCGAGACAACGCAGCCTGGCGAGCACAATTGCTGTGTCGACAGTTAGGCGACTTTGCGTCGGGAGAGTTCGTGGCGACATCTTCAGACGGGTTCCAGACATCGATATACCGTGAATCTCCAAGTAAGTGTTTATTTTCGCAGACAAACTCTTAAACGTGTTCGTCGTCAAATAAGCGGGATTTTTTTGCATCTCGGTTAGACGCGAATGTCGTTCTTGTTTTAGCAGTTAACAAAATCCAAAACTCGACGCTAAACATCCTTGCGGCCGATAGCGTACTTTTGACTCAATAACACCGCTACTGTTACTACGCTCACATGGAGCAGAGACGCTCTCCACAGCCCCACGCACACGGAGACAAGAAGCCATTCAATTGCTCTGTGTGTGGGAAGGCATTTTCATGGTCATCAAGTCTTAAGAGACACCAGAGAACACACACGGGTGAGAAGCCATTCCTGTGCTCTGTGTGTGGGAAAACATTTGCACACTCGTCACATCTTCAGACTCATCAGAGAACACACACGGGCGAGAAGCCATTCCTGTGCCCTGTGTGTGGGAAGACATTTGCAGACTCATCAACTCTTCAAACTCATCAGAGAACACACACAGGCGAGAAGCCATTCCTGTGCCCTGTGTGTGGGAAGGCATTTGCACAATCGTCAACTCTTCAAACTCATCAGAGAACGCACACGGGCGAGAAGCCATTCCTGTGCCCTGTGTGTGGGAAGACATTTGCGAAGTCATCACACCTTCAGAGTCATCAGAGAACACACACGGTTGAGAAGCCATTCCTGTGCCCTGTGTGTGGGAAGGCATTTGCACAGTCGTCAACTCTTCAAGACCATCAGAGAACACACACGGGGGAGAAGCCATTCCTGTGCCCTGTGTGTGGGAAGGCATTTGCACAGTCGTCAACTCTTAAAAGTCATCAGAGAACACATACGGGCGAGAAGCCATTCCTGTGCCATGTTTGTGGGAAGGCATTTGCAGACTCATCAACTCTTCAAACTCATCAGAGAACACACACGGGCGATAAGCCATTCCTGTGCCCTGCGTGTGGGAAGGCATTTTCACAGTCGTCAACTCTTAACAGGCATCAGAAGGTCCACAATGATAGGAAACTGAAATCAAAAGCTGAAATTCAAGGTGCTGCAATGAGTCCTCAAGAAGTTTCCACCTTCGATCCCATGCAGTTGGATCCCGAGAGATGGCTGGATGTAATGGAGTGGCTCGAGAGTCAACCAGAGAGCTCGGGGTGACTGAAAAAAAATTACGTCATGTGGTTATACCTATTAAGCCGTATCGAGTACTTTTGTGTGTAATTTTGACCATTTTAGTTTTATAGTTTTTTTGAGAGTTTAATGACGTGCCCAGTGGTGGTTTGTAATGTTATCGGATGACTTGCCGAAGTGGTGTGATGAGCACTGGTTGTGAAAGGGTTCAATTGTAGTCGTTAAGTATTCCTGTTGAGATAAAGTTGGAATGCGTCTGGAGGTACATCTTTACTCAACATTTTAAAGTTTTTTTCAAGTATATAGCTTTTTTTGATTGGTATTAATCGACTTTAGATCGCCGATTTCAGGATGTACATTGATGACGCGTTCGTTGGATATATGGCCTTGACTTCAACATAGACGCACAGTGAACAAATGTGGTGAACTAATAAGGAAATCATGGGGAATGAAACTTTAACGCTTTGGTATTCCTGGAACGGAAATGGTTTGCATTGTACTGGAAATGTGTGAACATAGGACGTAATAAATATTCCCTTCGAGTTTTGACGTAAAAATGATTGCAGATGAATAAAAACGTATTTTTAACAAATGTTTGTCTGGCCTTTATTTTATAATGTTCCTAGAAAAAACATGTTAAGAGAATTTCAGGTGGAGGATCTCCGTCACACATGTGTGCCCTTAACCGGCAGCGTCCCCGTAGTTAATCGTTCATTAACGTACCAGTCACTAATCCCGAAGTATGTCGGGGATAAACTGTACTCTATAACATATAAACTGTAATACTATAAACGATACCACTAAACATTTAACGATTATAAACTTATTACCATATACACGGAGGTAAGGTATTATAATATCATTAGAATCACAGTGTGGTCGTATAAGAATCATGCACAAACCCATTATAAACTCATGAGATTATGAATCGTTACAATTATTATAACAATCACAAATTGTGACGACTAGTGGGATTCGAATAATTGCAATTCGATTCATTTTCTTAGGTTTTTTCGGTAAAGTCACGTAGGTAAAAACATTCAAAAATAAAAATCACGACGTTTCGGAGGCAACACAAGCTTCCGTCTTCAGGTGGTACCGTCACAGCCACGACAGCTGTATCAAGTAAATGAGAGATTGCAGGAGCTACCACTACGTTTATATAATGGTTGGAGAAGGTGGTGGGGAAGACGGAGTGGTAGTGCCTGCAATTTCTCATTTACTTGATGCAGCTGTCGTGGCTGTGACGGTACCACCTGAAGACGGAAGCTTGTGTTGCCTCCTAAACGTCGTGATTTTTTTTTAAATGTTTTTACCTACGTAACTTTACCGAAAAACCTAAGAATATGAATCATTGCAGTCACGAAAGCTTCAAATCTAGAATGTAATTCGATTCTAATCCTGCATATCCTATACCCGGTTCGCATATTCACTTACCATACATACGACAACAGTATGATTGTAATTCGAGCACAGTGCGATTCTAATTATTCTTATGCGATTATAATCACACTATAACAGTTAATAGTATGTTACAGCGTTCATAGGTTGTAATATTACGTTTCACTATGTTAGAGCTTAACATGTGAGAGCTTACAACTATCAGAGTTGATCAAATGCGACGATCAAAGGTAAGTTTGATCAGAGTCTTTGATCAAAGGCGTCATCCCATCATGGAACACCACCTCCCTGCGTATATAACAGCAACAGAAGCGATTTCATTCATGAGTAGTATCCACTTAGCCCCGATAACACTAACCTACACACACAGTTATGGTTAAACAAAGTCATCTTTAGCCACTTAATTCTCAGCTCAGACATGATCATCGCAATAATTTCCAACGACGTGTGGGGTCCCGCGAGAGCAGGGCCCGGCTACAAAATAGGCGCTGAAATGAGTCCTGAAGAAGATTCCACCTTCGAGCCCATGAAGTTTGATCTCGAGAGATGGCTGGATGTAATGGAGTCGCTCGAAAGTCAAATCTAAAGCAAAGGATAACTGAAATTATGTTGGGTTTGGTGAGACCTATTAAGCCACATTGTGCGCAATTGTGTATGTTTTAGACCAAGCAATACGTTACAATTGATGTATCAGTGATTTTGATACTCGAGTTTTGCAGTTTGTTAGAATATTTCGTCACGTGCATTTTGTGGTTTCTGATATCGGATTACTTGCTGAAGTGGTGCGAGGAGCAGTGTTTGTGAGACCGTTCAATTACTGACAATCTTGTCGTGGTCAAGTGTTCCTGTTGAAATGAGTTTGTTGTTACAACTTTACTCGATATATTTTACTTGTTTTTTCCTTGATATCGCTTTTTTGGATGGTAATACGCGACTTAAGATAAATGATTTCAGGATGTACATTGATGACGCGTTCGTTGGATGTTTGGCTTTGACTTAAACACAGACGCACAGTGGATAAATGTGGTGAACTAATAAGGAGATCAATGGGGAATTATACTTTGGTTTGGTATTCCTGGAAGTGACTTGATTTGCATTGTACTGTAGCTATACTATTTGGTTCTTTCGGTAACGTCATATAGGTAGACAAAATAATAGATAATAATAGATAAATAATGTGATCTATTATTTTTCTACCTGTGTGACTTTAAGGAAAGAACCAGAGAGTATGGATTCCTGCAGTCACGAAAGCTTCAAATCAAGATTGTACTGTAGCTGTTTGAACATGGGACAACCTAAACTTTCGATACGAGTTGTAGTTCTGTAAAAATTCTTGCAGATGAATAAGACCTTATTTTCAGCAACTGCTTGTCCGTTTTTATTTTTGAATGTTAATAGCAAAAACGTGTGGAGCCGAGTTTCAGGTGGAGCATCTCCGTTCACAAGTCTGACCTTAACAGGCATCATGTTGGCTGTCTCGCCATTAACACGTGTGGTTCAGGAGGGGAAGGTCCCTTTTATAAATCGATTCACAACGTTACGGTCCCTAATCAACAAGTATACAGGGAATCCTGTACGCTAAGACACGTGAACTGTAACACTATAAACGATAACACGGAACATTAAACTACTATACACTAGTTTCATCATTTATAACACCAAAAACAGAGGTACGGTATCATAATCTCATTACAAGCAGTAGAATTTCAACGTGATCGTATTAGAATCACACTCTGCGCATATGTATGTATAGCGTACGTGCAAGCGAACTGTGCTCGTATGTACGAATGTAATATGCATCTATGGCCTTTGGACATGCGAACCGGTGGTCGGATATGCGAATTGGGGGGTGCAGGATTATGATCGGATTAAAATGATTAGAATATCACTTTGGTAGTATTATAATTACACTGAGCTAGAATGTATGTTAAATGTAGATGCACATCGGGAGTCGTAAATGCGGCCTGGGTGGTACCAGATTTAGAATCGCATCAAAATTTATAAAATCGCACCATGGTCGTATTAGAATCAAGCTGCCCACTGCTGGTAGAATGTTCCATCGCAATGGCACCGAATAGCAATATACAGCATTGATATTGGGCGTGGAGCCTAAAAGCGCAACCTTGCGCATTTTGACCTGGTTCTCGACGCCCGTCCCTCGTCCATGGTAGAATCTTGTGCATGTCGGGGCGTCAAGGGTTCGCACCACAGCCTTGAAGGATTAGGCAGGTCCCTGGCTTCTTTTGAAGAATTTGACCAGGCTCCAGGCACCGGTTCCTCGCACGTGGCGGATCCTAGAGGCACCCCGGGCCTCAGGGGCTAGGAAACTGTGAGCGCCACAACACATTTCCTTTTGGCGTACGGTTTCCGTTGCCGAGAGCCCCACCACGTCGGACACACCAGACTTGGTCTGTACAGGACATGGGGATGAGCTGTCTGGGTGAGGACGGACATAAGTTTTGAGGCTGGACAGCTGGACGAACCAACGGCGGCGCCCTATCTCCATTCTTACAAACTGCGGCCGTTTCTCCTCTATGACTTCTACGGGACAATCCGGACCACGCCATGGGCGGAGCAACTTGGGGGACGTACCCGGTGGCACCTGTAGGCAAAATAACCATGCCCTGTCCCCCACCTCCCATGGAAGCACGTGTTCCCACCAGCCCGTGTTCTTTTCATTAGCGGCTTGCGCTCTGGTGGGGAAAGGTCCTCGTTATGAATCGTTTTGCAACGTTCCGGTCCCGAGTATACCGGGGATCATCTGCACTCTATAACATGGAAACTCATAACACTATAAACAATAACTATATACTGGTTTTATAATTTATACCACCATAAACAGAGGCACGGAATGAGAATCTCATTAGTTTAATATCGCACTATGCTCATATGTTTGTAAAATTTACGTTCAATCGAACCGCGGATCTGATATGCGAACTGTGGGAGGTGCAGGGTTAGAAACGCATTTAAATAAATTGAATACCAATATGGTCGTATAGCATTTTACTGTACTTGAATGTATGTTATGTGAAAATGCAAATCGTTAGTCGTAAATGCGAGGCAGGGGTTAAGAGGTGCATGTTTAACCCAGTGATAATGTTAATCCAGTGTTAGCATTATATTTAAGGACAATATTGTTGATAACAATTCGTCTAGACATGGCACGTCCCTTGTTCGTCTCGATCAACCAAAATTCGTACAATGTCGGTCATAAAGGAGTGCGAGTTCATTCATGAGTAGTTTACGCTGAGCACGATGACACTGACCTACACACAGTTATGGTTAAACAAAGTTATCTTGAATCATTTAAACCTCAGCTCAGACTTCATCATCGCAATAATTTCTAAAGACATCTGGGGTCCCGCGAGAGCAGGGCCTGGCCACAAATATCCGGGCAGCGGAAGCAGCAGAAGCAGCTGCGTCGCCCTCGAAAGGTGTTGTTGCTGCTGTTGCTGCTGTAGTTGAAAATTTTG